TGCTGCAGCGCTGCGCTAATCTGCTTAACGCTTGGCTGCTCCGCTTATCCTCTAGACTAACTCGTACATACTAACCTAACCACTGAGGCTGGTACGCAGCCTTTTGTAGTGCTGGGCCGGCCTCTTGGCTACCGGTACCTACTGGCCTGGACCGTTGATCTAGATCAATGGTCCAGTTTCGAAACTGGTTTTGCGCCTAAACTACGGCAGCCTCGGAACCGCTGCTGGTAGGTCCTAGGCTGGACCGGTATCGGCCTTGTGGCCATTCGGCTTGAGCCTACCTGAACCGCCGTGGTCCAGGCCCTTTTGAGCCTCATCTGAACCGGTGTCCCCTAGGCTAACCCTGCCTGTCTTGGAACCGGGCCCTAACTGGGGCCGAGTGGCTCAGTATGCCACACACTCCCCCCCTTGAAGGACCGAGCTAACTGCGAGGGCGAAGCTGTCTGTGCGATGTCCGTACAGGGCGGGCAGGTTGGGCAGCTTCCTTAGCAAGTCGCTGTTTTTCATAATGCGCGAAGATGAGGGGTGTTGATGCCTTCAGATCAGCTCTTGAGATCCAGCGTGTGTCATTCGGATCGCATTGCTTGAATGTAACTTTATACTGCATTGGCTTGTTGCCATGCTTGCGATGCGTGAGAACCCGGTCGACCTCCTGATGGCCATCGATTGAAGGAGGGTCTTGTGACCGTCTGTCCGGGAAGTCCGTTGCGGAGGCTGGAGTGTAAACCGCCAGCTTCGAAGCGTGAAAGATCGGGTGTACCGTCAAATGCGGGGGAATCTCAATGATGAATGATGGACCCGCAGGGTCATTGCCAGCTGCTGAAGTGACCATCCATGGTCCAAACCACTTCGGGAGGAGCTTGCGCGAGACGTCCTGCTCGAGCGCGAATTCCTCGGAGGTGACCCAAACTAGGTCGCCGACGCGAATTGGACATGGGATGCGACGCCAGTTCGCTTGCTGCTGCATACGGACCTGAGCCTTTTGCATGTTAGAGCGGGCTTTGGCCAGCAGTTCCCTGTACTTTTGTGTAGAAGCGAGGGAGCAAGCGGCGTCTATATCGGCAGCCCGTGGAAGCAAAATGTCTGCGAAGATACGTCCTTTCCGTCCACCGTGGTGCAACTCGAATGGAGTCATGCCAATCGCCGGGTGCACCGAAGTGTTGTAGGCGAACTCGATGTCGGGAAGGCGGTCAACCCAGTCCTTCTGATCCGGGCGGATGAGTGTGCGGAGCATCATCTGCGCAGTCTGATGCGCACGTTCCGTCTGCCTATCCGTTTGAGGATGCCGTGCGGAGCTCGATTTCATGCTGGTGCCGGATTCCACCATGAGTGCCGTCCAAAAGGCCGAGATGAAACGAGTGTCGCGGTCGCTGACTATGTCTTCCGGAACGCCGTGGCTGCAAAACCAGCCGGTATGCAGAAGTCGTGCGAGCTCGGGAGCCGTCGCATAATACTTGCATGGAAGAAATCGAGCGTACTTGCTCAAACGGTCAACGACCGTGAGAATACCATCATGACCAAGGCGATCGCGAGGGAAAGGACCGGTCACATCCATAGCAATGGAGAGACCTGGTGCCCGCGGTATCAGTTTGCCGTAAGGGAGCTGATGGCGCCCTTTATTCCGGTGGCAAACTGCACATGACTGAATGTACCGGTTGACGTCGTTGATGATGTCCGGCTAGTGAAAACGCTGGCGGAGTCGTGCTAGTGTGCGTGCGACGCCAAGGTGTCCTGCCAGCCGCGAATCATGGTATTCGCCAAGGAGGCGAGTGCGCAAGATGCGGTCTTGGGGAACACACAACAAGTCCTTGCCTCGCGTATGGAGGAGCAAGTAGCCGTCGGTGATGCGATAGTTGCTTGCCGGCGGTTGGTCCGATGATAAGTCCGCGTAGAGTGTGGAGAATCCCGGATCCGACTTGTAGCCGTTTATGAAATGTTGTTGGAGGTCCTCGTCGAGGCCGAACGTGGAGTGTACCATGGCGCAAAGATCGGGTCTTCGCGAGAGAGCATCCGCCGCCTTGTTCGAGGAGCCCGGAATGTGCTTGGAGGTGAAGTCGAACTGGTCAATGAAATACATCCACCGACCGATCGTGCTGCTCACCGTGTCTTGTGTCTTGTAATATGTCAACGGATTGTTGCCCGTTGCCCACGTGAATCGCTGACGCCCGAGGAGAAAGTGACGCCAACGCTTAAGTACAGAGACAAAAGCTAGGAGTTCCTTCTTCCTCGCATCATTAAGAGTGTTGATGGGCGACACCTTTTGGCTGAAATACTCAACCGGATGCCAGTCTGTGCCGTCATGCTGTTCCAAAACCGCGCCAATGCCGTAACCGGAAGCGTCCGTAGTCACTTTGGTAGGCAACGTCGGGTCATAGATGCTTAGGACGGGAGCTTGAAGCAAAGCCGTCTTCAGCGTGTGAAACGCATCCCGGGCCTCGTCGCTGAACTCGAAAGGCACCAAGGGGGACTGAAGTCGTGACAATGGTGCAGCGATGCGTTGAAATCCTTCGACGAAGCGCATGTAGTACGATGCCAAGCCGAGAAAGGAGCGGACGTCGGTAGAACACTTGAGGTCCGGCCAATCTTGAATAGCTTGTAACTTGTCCGCGAGCGGACGAATGCCTTGCGGCGTGACGTAATGGCCCAAGTACTCCAGCTCTTGTTGGGCAAACTCGCACTTGTCGCGGTTTGCCTTGTACTTGGCGATACGAAGCCGCTCCAATACGGCGCGAAGGTGCTCGAGATGCTCGTCCAGCGACCGACTATGAACCAAGATGTCATCGAGGTAAATGAGTACGGAGCGGTCGAGCAAGTCGCGGAATTCCGTTGTCATAGCCGCTTGGAAAGTAGCCGGGGCATTGGTGAGACCGAAAGGCATGACGATCCACTTGCCCATACCGCGTCTTGAATGCGGTCTTGTACCGATCTCTTGGCTGAATCTCAAATCTGGCGATAACCGGACTTGAGGTCTAGCTTGGAGAAGTACTTGGCGCCGCCGAGTCGCTCGAGAAGATCATCGATTCGAGGGAGAGGGCCGGCGTTCTTGATCGTTTGTGCGTCGAGTTTACGATAGTCGATGCACAACCGAAGGTCCTTGTTCTTCTTCCGGACGAAAAGAGCGGGAGCACCGTATGGCGAGCAGCTAGGGCGAATCCAGCCCTTGGCCAAAAGGTCGTTTAGTTGTGCTCGAAGCACTTGAAGTTCCTCTTCGCTCATGCGGTAGATACATCCGCGCGGAGGTACGACGCCATCCTCGAGAGTGATCCCCATAGCTGTCCAACAACTCAATGATGCGTGGGTCCGACGTATCCGTCTTGGGCTGATCACCGGGTGGGAGGGCGTGAAGAAAACATATGCCCATCTCCTCGATGTTGTTTCGCTGGATGGATTGGCGAATGCTCGCCTCGGATACCACGTGACAACCAATCGAAGGATGAGGAAGCGGCACCGTACACGGGACTAGTTCGCCATGCCGATCACGAACGTGAACGGTGCGGCGATGGAAGTTCACCGGATGGTCTTCGCTTTGCAGCCACGACATGCCTAGGATCATATCGAACTTGGTGTCCAATATGTCGAAGGACACGACCTCGCTTGCTAGCGGGGCGAAGTACACGGGCACCGAGTCAACGTATCGGTCGATTGACTTTTGCGTGTGACCATCGGCCAACGCGACGTGCGCAGGCTGACTTTTCCTTCGAACGCGCGGGCCTAGCCCGGCGCGTGCCATGAAGTCTTGGCTGATGTAGTTGCGAGTCGCTCCACAATCGATCAAGGCACTGCAGGTCGCCTTTCCGATCTGAATGCGGATGTAGAGGAGCGGTGCGTCGGTGTCGACGTACCGTTGCGTTGTGTACTCGCGGTCGATCTTCGCAAGAAAATTGCAAAGGTCAACAACCGCTTCTCCGCCGTCCGTCGACGGAGGTGGTACTGCAGCGTGCAAGTATTCGCGTAGATGTGCCATTAAGGCATTGCAATGCGGAGTTGGCAAAGAACCGGTGGAGGGTAGAGGCAACCATTGGACGTCCTCAACCGTCAACGGGTCGAGATCCTCAAGTCTCGCCCAAGTTGACGGATCCTTCGATAAGATGGCTGGCGAAGCCACCGGCTCATTGTCCGACGGCGGAACTGCCGCGCATACGCTTGAATCTTGCACGTGGAGAGGCTGGTTCAATGGTGGGACCAGCTCGACAGCATAGTTCTCGTACTCAATGCGAGAACTTGCGACTGCCGCGGTTTCCCCGGATGTGAGAGAGGCTGCTAGCAAGGCAGCCAACTCCGGCAGACTGGGAAGTGTTGTCGCTGCACTTCCCGCGGTGCTCAGTTTCCTGAGCCAGGACGCTTGACATTTTCTTTGTCCTTGTCGAGGCATGCACTGGTGATGTGCTTGGTGCTATTGCACCACAAACAACATCCCCATTTTTGTCGCAACTTGAACATGTCCTCGGTAATCCCGAACTTCGTCCATGGTGCCTGTCGTGCTCCATCCGCCGACGCTGGTTTCGCCTTCTGTTTTCCCCCTCGGGGCGTTGCGGTGGTATTGCTGCCGCCACATCTCCGTCACTTGATGTCAAAGCGGCTGCGTAGTCCTCACTTTGTCCTTGCTGGACTGCTGCTACTTGCGGCGTCCGTTGACCTTTTCCTTTCTCCACGTAACCGGGCTGCTGACGAGTCACGTTAGCCACACGCCGGTTACCTTGTATAAGCTCTCTGGCTTTGGCGATCATGTCGTCAAAGTTCTTGTACTCGTATTCGCTGCCGAGAGCAGCAGTCAAGGCGTCGCAGGATCGGGCGAAGAATTCGCCTCGGATCGAGTCGAATGGTAGGTTCAACTCCGGGGTGGCGACGAGTCTTTGCCACTCCGTCAGCCATTCCCGCGAAGGTTGCTGGCCTTGGAAGATGTGGAAGATCTTGTTCAAGGCGTGACGCTTGTCATTGTTCACCATGAACCGGGTCTTCCATTTCTTCTCGAACTCCTCCCACGTGATCTTCGTGTGGAGGGTGGCGATGGTACACTCAAGCGTCGCGGCCATGTGTGTCATGAATGCTTGCGCTCCGCCTATAAGTTGGAGGTACAATGCATCCAGCCGCCGTAGGGGCGGAGTATGATGCACGTCGGCCTCTGCGTTGAATGCCATCCACCATTGCAGCGGATCGGTCTTGTGATAGTCGTCAAACTTCTCAATTTTGAAGTTCGGCATCTTCCATTCCTTGGTGATGGCGACCGGACGTTGGTCAACGCGGTCGCTGAGCGTCTGCAGCTGATTGCTGACTGTAGAGGCTCCTGCAAACTTGCTGATGTCGCCCAGGGATGCGACTAAATGATTGACCCGCTCTTCCAATTGCTTTGCCTGTGCGGTCAAAGCTGGGCTGCAGTCGACTGCTGCACTGCCCGTTGACGCAGCTGC